CTTTAAGAATAACTGTATTATTTTTTTTAGAAATGATTATATCATTTCTTTGAAACAATTTCTATCATCTTTTTAGGAACAATTGTATCATTCCTTTTAGGATGATTATTCGTTTCTTTGAGGATGATTATATCATTTCTTTGGGATAATTTCTATCATTTTTTTAGGAAAAATTGTATCATTTCTTTTAGAATGATTGTACGTTCTTTTGAGAATGATTATATCATTCTTTTAGAATAATTTCTATTATCTTTTTAGAGATGATTGTATCGTTCCTTTTAGAATGATTGTTTGTTTCTTTGTGAATGATTATATCATTTCTTTTAAGACAATTTCTATTATTTCTTTAAGAAAATATTTTATAATTTTCACAAAAATCAGTTCAATAGATTTTGACCAATAAGATATAGTTGATTTGTTGCTTAATTTTAAGTCTAACTAAAATTTTGCCAAATGTTATAACCGAAAGGTATTAATGCTAAAATAATACTAAATTATATATGATGTGATAAATTACTATCAATTTTTATAATTCAGCTAAATTTTTGTAAAATCATATGACCAAATTAACTGAATATTTAACAAAAGGTTTTAATGCTGAAACAATACTAATTTATATATGATGTAACAAATTACTATTGATTTTTGTAACATAAGCTGAATTTTTTCTGAATAATATGAATGAATCAGCTGAATGTTTATCAAAAAATCTAATGCTAAAATAATGCTAAATTATATGTGATGTAACAAATAACTATCGATTTTTGTAGCTGAATTTTTACTAAATTACATGACTGAATCAGCTGAATGTAATTGGAAGGTATTAATTAGTATTAAAAGAAATAATTTTGACTAGTACTTATCACTAATATGTATTCAGATATGATATAATATCAAGAGAATAAGTTTTTTGCAAAATTATATTATTTAAAAATAGCAAAAGACATATCCTAGGTGATAGCGAGATTAGTAGGTAAATAATAAAAGAAAACCATTTGAATATGTATCTAAAATGAAGTTTTTTTAAAAAATTATTATATAAAATAATTGAAAAAGACTTTACTTTTCAAAATATATACTCAAGTATAGGTACTTTTATTAGCGCAAATTTAGAAAAAATATATAGCAAAGTGCTGAAAGAATCACGAATAAAGATATTCTTAATAGATAATACTTAGGATAGTCTTCTTCTGAAATATTATATAATAATAGAAGAATATTATTCTATTACTAGTATATACTTTGGTATGATATGACATCTAGGGTAGCCAAATGTATAGCATTATAATACAAGTAGATATCACTATGTGGGAGGCGATCAGTAAAAAGAGGAAATCCAAATTTTGGTCAAAATTTATATTATTGGACCATTTGACTGATCTCGATTATATGAATAAAATTAGCTTAATAATTAAAATTAACAAAAATTTTGGATTTTCCCCTTTTCTACTAACTATCTCTCATATATATAGTTATATCTATTAATTATAATTTATTTTTAATAATAATTTATACATTAATGAAGCTATTTAAAATATTGTCATCAGGAATAATCTTCTCTTATTACTTCACGTAATTTGTCTAAGTTCTTTTGTTGTGATAAGTAACTTCCTTAATGTTATTCATTACAACCTTAGGCAATCTTATGTCTTATAGGTATCCAGAATTCCTTGGAATTACTTCACTTGGTTTATGAACTTAAGGGTTTAGAGACTTAGGAAATTTAGAGAATTTATTTATTCTAAGTGACGAACTCAATCGCAAGTTAGTGTAGTGGTTCATAATCAAATCCTAGATGAGTAATACGTCAAAGAAAAAGTATTTTTTGTTTTTTAAAGTTGATTTCTTTATTTATTACTTGAAATTCCCGAGTATTTTAGAACTTACAAGAGAGTATTTACAATATGAGCAAAAAGCTATTCTATTTATACAAAATTAATTTGCTACAGTTAACTAATTGCTACGCTACAAACTAACTAAATTTGTAACTACAAGTATTAATATAATAATGATAATGATTATAAGAAAAATAATAATTATAAAGATAATAATAAGTATAATAAAATAATAAAAATAAGAAGAATAACGATAGTAATTAAAATAATGGAAATACAGGGAATTAGGAAAATCTAACGAATCATGATAATCTGAAGAATCCAATAAATCCTAAGAATCCTACGAATCCTCAGAATCCTGTGGATCTTAAGAATCATCAAAATCTGAAATTATGCAGATCTTCTAATTTGTGATTGACATAAAATTAATTTTAGTAACTTCTGTAAATCATTTAATAATTCTTTGTAGATCAACTTTTCAATAGTGAATTTTTAGCTGGTAACAACATATAGCTTAAAAATTTAAATAAAACTTTTTTAAAACCTTTAAAATGATTTTTTTAAATCTAAAACTTAATGAAACTTAATTGAATTTAAGAAAAGATATTTATCATAAATTAATAATTAATTTTAAATATTTCAAAACTTAAATTAGTTTAAAAATGCATCTTTATTATATACATTTTAAGTTGTATAATATGTATACATAAAAATTAATATGCATATGTATATAAATTTTATATATTGCTATAGGGATATATAATAATTATTAATATTATATTATAATATTAATTAAAATTTTTATATTAATATTATTATTAATTAAATCAAACTATTTAATTTATAGTTAAATACTAAATATATTTTTTTTATGAAAATAATATCTTTTTGATATTTATTAAATATTTATTTAATGATTTTAAAAATTTTTTATTTTTATAATATTTAACTTTAATATATATTAAATATAATTAAAACTTGTTTTTAATTAATTTAAAAATAAATAAAATTATTTTATAAAATTTAATAATCATCTAAATATATAATAAATTAATATAAATATTTATAATATATTTAAATTTTCAATATATATATTGTTTATAAATTCATTAGGAATTTATTTAAAAGTCATTGTTATTAGTTTTTTGGCTTTATAGAAACTTTTACATAAATTTATTAAAAAAAATTTTTTTTAAAATAATAAATTGTTCAGAATCAGATGATCATATCTGCAATAATTTCAAAAAAAAAAAAAAAATGATCCGCATAAATACTGCACAGATATGCATTACGTGGCCAAATAAAAATACGTTTGATATCGTTTGATATTTTTGGCAACTATTTAAAATATGATTATAAGTACACAAATTTGGGCAATTGCTTTTTTTTTTCGGATTTTGAAAAAAGTTCAAAAAGAATATTAAGGTATCCAAGAAACGTGATTAAAAAAAAAATAATTATTATCTTAACTAAATTGAGATACTAGCATGTGAACTCACTGAATTTGAAAGTTGAAAATAAAATAATAACAGATTAGATCTCACATTTTTTTTTCTTTGAAAGCGATTTTTACACGCGATTTCTTGTTTTATATTTGTTTTCTTTGTACGATATATAAATTCAATATCATTACGTACGTTCGCATTGCCGCACAGAACTTGAGAATCTTCGCGCTGCATGCATGAATTTCTATTTATAATTAATCATTTTATATGCAAGCAAATATCGGAACTGCGGCAATTATATCAGATTTTAATCCATGGGATTTCCATTTAGATTGATGAAAAAACGAAACAAGTTACTGTGTAAATGACGGTAGTTCCTTAAGAAACCAAAGCCTGAACAAAAAGGTTTTTGAAGAATAAATGTAACCTAAATCCTTGTTTAAAGGTTACTGGAGAAAAGTTTTTTTTAATGGCATTTATATTAACATTTAATTAATTAGGAAGTTGCATACATTCACTCATATTTATCGTTACACATAAAAGGTGGGGTAAAAATAAAAAAACTAAAATAACTCAGCTCACGCACGCGTAACTTTTGAAAATATATCGTAACTTTAATGGGTTTTTATGAATGATTGATCATGATTGGTGAAATCAAACATTTGTACCAAAATGTGAAACGCGTCGTTTTGATATTATTTTTTGATTTTGATTTATTTTATTGATCAACATTATTAATAATAATTATTGTTTGCTTATTTTGCTTAGTCACGTTAACGGAATTTATCTCCAGTCAGGATCATTGTTATTATCCGCAGTCATTTACTGAGAGAATAAAAATAATAATGCATTATCTGCTCTAAAGAAGGGACCCTTGGCGGGCTGAATTTTTTTTGCAAGAAAACAAAAATTTCTCTTTTTATATGTGATTCAGATCTTAATTTTGTATTACTAAAATTATTTATTCTGTAACACATCCGTTATAGAACGTTTTTTATTCTGACTGAGTTTAATTAATTTCATAAAATTTAATAATTAATAGTTTGTAAGACTTTCAAATATAGATTATATAGATTGAGTAATATTTTGATCTATATTACCCTTGTAATTTTTTAACCTTTCTACTAAAAGGTTCAGTTAACTTCCCCTTTCGAAACGCAAGAGAAACGATGCCCTTTACTTGCCTTCCTTATATTACCGCATAATCTATTTATCACTATTTACTTCACTTTCATTTTTTTATTTCACCATACCTTCTAATCTTGAATATTAAACCCCTCTCTTGCTTTTCGTTTCTCGTCTTTTTTTTTTGCAAATAATATTATAAATACTACACAAACTTAACTTACTCACCTCATCTGAGTAAATCTTCAAAAAAAAAAAAAAGTGTAAAAATTGTACAAAAGCCTTGTTCATATTTTCTCTTAGACTTAATTTTTTTTTCTTGAACTATTTTTTTTTATTTAGACCTTTTATTTTTCTCTTCTTTTCTTCTTCTTTTTAATAGTTTCCTCAACTAAAAAAATTTTCTTTTAATTTCAATCGCAAAAAAAAAAAAAAAGTTTCACGCGATTACCTTTACAATTAGTTTCTTTATATATATATATATATTTTTTTGTGAGTGTGTTAAAAAAAAGTTCTTTATTAAAAACACCTAATAATACATTATATATCTTGCTATTTTATTAAAAACGTAACATCGGTTGTTTCTCTGTAAAAGATGAGCTCACGTAATATGATGGACGACTCAGCATCCAAGAGTAAGGCGGATTTGCATCAACCAAAAGCGAACAATAAACCACAAGGACAGGTTAGTGTAAAACTTTTAAAGTACCATTGTCATTTTTTGTTCACTATGGTTTTGATCAACAATTGTTAGATCTATATATACATATACATATGTATATATACATACTATTAGCAATACATATATATCTGGAACTCAAAAACTAACATTATTTTTCAATTCTCTTCATTGTTATATCAACTTCTTTGTCTGGGAAAATTTATTTCTTGCTGTATTTTGGTTTTTTTTATGGCATCTGTTTATAGCAAGTGGCTGCCCTTTTAAGAGAAAAAGTTGATTATGATTATGATATGTTTGGAGGACAAAGGCAAGAAGTTAGTCGTTCAAATAGTGCTCCACCAACTCAAGCGGTAGATCAGTTTGGTCGTTTTGATCCAGAACTAGATCCTTCACTATCTGATCCACGTTTAGACCCTGATTATCCAGCATATTATTATGCAAATTCACGAATGGAGCCCAGACTACCGCCTCCCCAATATATTCCGGGGCAATCGTGGCAATTATGGGCTGGTGGTGGTGGTTTAGGCGGTCTGAACACTAAACCCAATAGTGGTTCTTCTAATCAACCTCCAAAATCCAAAATTTTGGAAAAATTTAGGGGTTTGGGTATGTATTAGTCTAAACAAAAGACATATGCTTTTGTTTTAATCTTAATAATATTCACGTTATATGTGTGTCGTTAAGAAAGTGTCTTCATAAATTTTGATTTATATAAGGTTCTTGAAATAAAAAAGAGAAAATGGAAAAGTAAGAGATCGGGTTGAAATATAAACTGATCTGTATCACAAAACGTGTTAAGTTATTGAATTTAAGAAATTAAATCTAACTTTTCCGAATTTCCATATTTATTAAATTCACACGCCTGACATGTAACTGAAATATAAAACCAAAATATAACAATTTCTAACAAAGATTTATTTTTTACCTTAATTTTTATCGATTCAAATGGCGTTCTTTACGTTCTTTATTAATTAATATATTAGATGCAGATGATGATTTTCTACGTGAACATCCTTTGGATCAAAGCTTAGAACCAGAGCATCATCATTCAACTTTTGGAGTACAGCAAGATTTTTCAAATGAAACTAGTATGCAATATGAACAATTCGGTGCCCACAGTAGCAGCAGTGCTGCGTCGCTCTGGCGGAACGAATTGGTATCTCCACCACCTCAAGGAATAGGAGGAGTTAATAATGATCCACATTCATCGAATAAACGGAAAAATTTAGTAGATATGATTCAAGAGGACTTCCCACGAACACCTTCTCCTATGTACGCTTTAAGACAAGCCCAAGCACGAGAACGTCAAGCTGCACTTGCTGAAGCTAATGTTACTTCATCAAATGTAACAGGTGATATGGGAAATGATGCATTTGATGTTCATGACCTTAGAGCTGCCCTTGAATTTGATGATCCACTTGGTCACTCGAATCATTATTCAAATGCTTTGCGTGTATCACAAAGTGATGATGATCATATGAATTCTGTTGTGAATGCCGCGTTAGATGAAGATTATGTGCATCGAATGGGAGCTTATTCAAGAGGAACTTCGCCACCATCTCTTCGCGCGAAATTGTCTCCGCCGCCTCGTGCTGCGTCTACGCCACCTACGCAAAATCATTTCCGTAATCACAGCCTTAATTTTCCACAAGAATTCCATGGTGATTTATCTCATAATGAACTTTTCTATAATCTAAAGAATTTGGAGGGAACTGTATGTATTTTGTTTTTTTAAAAAAATTATCATTGTGCAAAAATCAGTTTAAATAAATAATACTATTATTTTCCCTTCCCTTAATATTTAGGATGAATACACCGACAATCTTCAACAAGCTCACCTTCTCCGTCAACAACAACTTAAACAACAACAACGTTTAAAGTTGCAACATTCGCAATACAATTCTTTGTTTAACGATAGTCCCACTTCAAGTGGATATTCTCAATACGGACTTGGTAATACTTTTTTTTTTATCCTGAAAAATTTAAAAAAAAATTTGTTTTTCACAGTATATAAATTTTTTTTTTTATTTAAAAAAAAAAAGATCCTTATGGCTCCGTATGGGATGCACGCGACGAGGCCGTAATCAGTCGAAACCTTCTTTCAGCTGATTTAGCATATGGACGTAATAATTCTTTGAGTGGTTTAAGTTCAGGGCGAGGATCTATTGATTATCAAAAGGCATTCCAACAACAGTCATTAAGTTCAATTGGTGGTAGTCGAAACGAACAATTATTATCATCCGAATATGGTACTGCAAAAACTGGTCCATATTACAACTCATCTAACCTTAGCAGTGCTGGTGGTTTAAGTTTAACTGGTAATTCTCTTGCTCAAACTCGTGCAAGCCTTGCCGAGAAAAATTTACGGATACAATCTCAACAGTTATTACTTCAACAGCAACAACTTAAGCAACAACAAATGATAATTGCCAGAGAACAATTATTAAGACATCATCATTCTGCTGAGTATTTGAATGGTATCGGAGGGTATGGTGGTATTTCTAGTGGACGTCGTAGTCACGATTTAAGTTCTAGCATGTCAGATCCTGGTCATGGTATGAGAAGTGCTTTATTAGAGGAATTTAGAAACAACAAGAATAAGAAGTATGAACTTAGGGTAAATAATAATAATTATATCAATTTAAAGCTAATTTTTTTTTTGTATCTTAAAAAAATGGGTTAACTTAATAAACCTTTATATCTAGGATATTGTTGGTAATATTGTTGAGTTCAGTGGAGATCAACATGGATCACGATTTATTCAACAAAAGTTAGAAACTGCAAATAGCGAGGAAAAGCAGTTAGTCTTCGACGAAATTCTTCCTAATGCTTTGCAATTGATGACTGATGTTTTTGGCAATTATGTTATTCAAAAATTCTTTGAACACGGAAATCAAGTGCAAAAGACAATATTGGCTAAACAAATGGAGGGACATGTTTTGTCTTTAGCTTTACAAATGTATGGATGTCGTGTTGTTCAAAAGGTATTTAATAACTTTTAAAAAAAAATTTTTTTTTTTTGTCTGTGTATTAATTTAAAATTTTTTTTTTTTATTCAAGGCTCTTGAGCACGTTCTTACCGAACAACAAGCTACGTTGGTCAAGGAACTTGATGGGAATGTCCTTAAATGTGTCAAGGATCAAAATGGAAATCACGTCATTCAAAAAGCTATCGAACGTGTCCCAGCTGAGCATATTCAGTTCATCATTAATGCTTTCCATGGTCAAGTCTATAGCCTTGCTACGCATCCTTACGGCTGCCGTGTAATTCAGCGAATGTTTGAACATTGTACTGACGAACAAACGGTGAGCATTTATTTCATAGTTTTATTGTATTTATTTCAAAACTCGATTTTTAAATTTTCTATTATAGAAACCACTTTTAGAAGAACTTCATCGGTATACTCAGAATTTAGTCCAAGATCAATACGGAAATTATGTTATTCAACATGTTTTGGAACGTGGAAAGGCGGCCGATAAATCAATGGTCGTAGCTAAAGTGCGGGGCAATGTCTTGCAAATGTCGAAACATAAATTTGCAAGTAATGTAGTAGAAAAATGTGTCGCTTACGGTAGTAAACGAGATCGGCAATTATTGATCGAAGAGGTCATTATGACTAAACCTGACGGGTATGTGTTTTTGTAATGTTAAGTTTCTAGGTCAACTTATGAACTAAATTTAGAATTAACGCCTTTCTAAAATTTTTTTAAAAAATGAATAGGACTTCACCGTTGATTTCAATGATGAAAGATCAATATGCTAATTATGTTGTTCAAAAAATGCTTGATGTTGTTGATGGTGACCAACGAGATTTATTAGTCGCCAAAATCAAGCCACATTTACAGTCATTGAAAAAATATACATATGGAAAGCATCTCATTTCGAGTAAGTTGACGTTACCGTTTACTAACTTATGAAGTCAGTTCTACCTCTCCGAAAAGAAAAAATTAGGGTTCCCTTTTTTTTCTTATTCAGTTTTTGTTATCATTCGTTTAAATGCGTATTTGAACAGAGTTTGAAAAGCTTATGATCCTCACAGAAAATCAGAAAAATCAAAACGGCGGCGGTCTCTCCATTGACGGAATGTCAAGTACCGGTCTTGTATCACCTTCTATTTCAACTACACCTCTTGGTACTGGTAATAATACACCAGTCATGTCATCACCGGCTATTGGACCTGATACAAATATACATCCTAGCACCAGTCCTCACATGTCCGAACAAATCTAAAATAGCCGGTTGTATGATAAAAGAATTTGGTGAATCTTGTTTATATAATTACTTTTTTTGTAGGGTCAAAAGAATCCCAACGTTGTTATATATAATTTCAATTTTTAATATATATATATCTCTCTATATATCTTACTAGGATTTTATTTTATTTTTTATTTTATTTTGGGATTTATGATTCCATTTTAAATTTTTAAAATTTTTATTTTATTTTATTTTATTTGCTTTTATATTTGCATGAACTATATATTTATAACCTAATCTTTTCTTGATGATAAATACACAAGTTGTTTGTCATCATCATTATATAAAATCTCAATATTACCCTTTTTCCTTTTCTGAACATATTTTTTTTGATCTTCACCCTTTTTTATTGTGCCATATAGTACTAAAAAATATATTATAAACTTATACATATATTGTATATTCCTCCCCTTTACTTATTTTTTTCCTGTCATAGTATACCCTTTCTTTTGTTTTAAAAAAATTTATATACTTTTTTATTTCTTCTTGTACGTACTATTTTTTTTTCTCTTATTTTGTTTGAAATGAAAAAATGAATTTTATTATATATATATATATATATATTTAATTATATGAATGACATTTTATAAATAATTTATTTATTAATTCATTCAATTTTTATTTTTCAATTTTTCAAAGAGGATGTTATTATTATAAACGAATGTTATTATGGTTGTTATTTTAATTACAGTATTTATTTTTGATTGTTATACATATCTTAAATATTTTATAAAAATGCGTTGATGCAATATACAAATTAATTTTTAATTCTTAATTAATAGAGGGGTTTCAATATCGCAGTGATATTGTTAATCCTGGTCATAAAAAAAAGAAATTGTAAATTTAGGGTTATAATTAATTAACCGTAATTATTTAAATAATAAATTTCTTTTATTTAATAATATTAGATAATGTATACAATTATCGGAGTTTCCAAATAAAAAAAAATAAATTTAAATATCAAACACAAACCTTGAAAAAAGGAAAAAAAAATTTAATTTAATTGTCAAATATTATTATTGATAATATTATTGATAATGTTATTAAATGTTGATTTAAATAAGAAATTTTCTTTTTATTTATTTTATTTTATTTTATTTTATTTTTTTTTCTCCCCCTCAAATAATAATAATAATAATAATAATAATAAAAAGAAAAAATCCTTTATTTTTAAACTTTTTTTTTTTTCCAAATATATACTACTGTATTTAAATAAAATTCTCCAAAGTTAATTCTCAAAAAAACACATTGTTTTGCGATTTAGCCATCTCTCGCTTCATCCCTTTAATATAAAAATTTTTTTTAAGCACCAACATAACACATGTTTAAAGCATGAATTTCTTTAGCTAACCAGACCCAATTAATATTCATCCTTCCGGTTAATTTTTGCTCATATTGTAATAATTCATACATAAATTTCAGGTTAGGTTGGATAATAACATTAAGTCTTCTAGCTCTAACATATAGATATGATGATACCAATGATCTGCCAAGATGTTTCATAATATATGCAATCGTTATAGTGGCAGATCTAGATACTCCTACTCGACAATGAATTAATATACTACCATTTGATCGCCGAGCATTTTCTATATTTAATATGTATATTAAAAATAAAGTTGTTAGTTGTCGTCTGTTTCTTACGACTACCGATTCTTCTCATCATTTACCCACTTACCAATGAAATTTACGCAAGAATCCAAATGGTTCCATAAACTATCAATTCCATCATCATATAAATTATCCAAATATTGTACTTCAAATTCTTTCCTATCCAATTTAGAATCTTCACCGACTGATAAGACATGGGTGATTCCAAGGGCTTTTAACATTCCGGCATTACACGCATGATTTAAATTACCTAGGTACAAAAATGGAAGAATACGGCTAGGAAAACTTCCTTCAAAAAATGGTGAAAAAAACCATGGAAATTTTTCAATGTTTTCTATTTCTTTTTTTTCATCTTGAAATGATGGTGGTGATGATGACGGTGGTGACGATATTGTAGATTGTTGTGAGGAGGAAGATGGTGATGAAGAGGATTGTGGCGATGGTGATGACGGTGACGGTGGAGATGATGAAGAAGATGATGATTGTTGCTGCTTCTCCAACTTTTTCCTTTCAAATATGCGTTTCTCTATGGCTAATAATGTTGTAACATCATTTGGATATACAAAAAAACTTCTCGTCTTTTGTAATCTAAGGTATGCTTGAGGTAATTTGAGATTTTCATTAAACATTAAATAAGTTAATGTAAGTAAAGAAGTTTCTGTATATCCATCAGCACAGTGAATCAATATTTTATGATCAAATTTATTTGTTTGCGTTGAGATAAATTCACACAAATCTATCAACCTCGTCGCTATTGCATCAAACGCTGTCGTATTATGATTATTACATCCAACTCCTGATGATATACAATCAATATGAATAATTTCATCCATTGGTGTTCGTCTACACGTTGATAAATTTGCAAGTTGTTCCGTAGCAAGTTTTAAAGTGGCTTGATCTGCCATTTCCGCTAGGTCATGCGATTCTATACAAATACTAAATTGACGCGGATTATCATCTATTAATGAAATTGCTGAATCTGCCGAGTCCATATCATTTGATACTGGAACATCTTGAGTATTCCCTAGCTAAAAATCCCAGAATCCAGGAAAAAAGTTTCGATGATTATTTTTTTTTTTTTTTTTTTTTTTTTTTTTTATAGAATTATTATTATATTAGTTAAAATTCTCTTTTCTTTTTCAAAAAAAATAAAAATAAAAAATAAAAATAAAAAAATATATACATAAATGTATATATACATGAAGTCTTTTTTAAAACCAAAAAAAAAATATTCAAGTGTTTGTCAATATATTATTTACCCAAACGTTATGTGAAATCTCAGATGCTGAAGTTAATAATCTCATTTCTTCTCTTTCTTTTTCCAAAAAATTAACCTTATTACGCGCGATACCGTGTGAATCTAACGCAATAAGTTCCGGAAATTCTTTTTCAAAGAATGAAAATGGGTCTAACAAAAGATTTTGATTTAATTAATATATATGATAAAAAGACAAATGGATATCTGTGATGTGCTGGGTTATCTTTTTTCTTTTTCTTTTTTTTTTTTGATTATTTGATAAATACTCACCCAATATGACAAAAACTTCATAATCTATATCATTTGTATTCTCTTCACGTAATGCTTGCTGAGCCCACGCGGCTTGTTTAGCAATCTCCAATACGGTATCATTTAAGCCATTTTCACCATAAATAACAATATCTGATAAAGTAACGTATTTAGATACTTGGATTTTAAAATTACGTAAATTAACTCCTTCTCCATCATTCACTTTTAAGAAACCTCTACGTCCATGACAAGAATCATCACCATCATTCGGAAGAGGATTAAAAATGTCGGACGGGTAAACAGAACCAACTAATAAGGATTTTGACGTTTCTTCAGCCTGTACCACAGTCACACCACGATGCAAAGGCATGGGACATTCTTGTATTCCAAAAAAATTGTTTTGAGCCAGATTTGTTCCATCAACACCATGTAACCACGGAAATAAAATGTCGTTAGGGAGTGCTGCACTGTGGTAGGCTTCATGTATAAGATAATATTGCGAGCCACTTAAAGCTCTGATTGGAGGATCTTCACAGACGATAGGAAATACGTCATATAAAGAAGGTGAAGGTGACCTCACTATTACAGGTGAGGAAGACGATGGTGATAAAGGCGAGGAAGGGGGGGTGAAAGGAGACGTCGCTGGCTGTTGTTGCTGTTCTACTGCCGCCATTTTATTACCGTAAACTTTTTTTCGTTTATCTAAGTTCTCGAGAAATCTATTTTAAATAAATAATTTCGTACAAAAATTTTTTTCCCGTCAAAAAAAAAAGAAGATATTCAAGGTGTCTGAAAGGTAGAGTTTTTATTAAAAAAAATTCTAAACTTTAAAAGGTGTGACCAAAAAAAAAATATATAAAGGTGATAATAAAAAATTTCGAGAGAAGCAGTTTGTTGAACACTGAAAAACTGAAAGTGCTACTCGTGAGCATCGATCGCCTAATTAGGTAATAGTAAACTTTACATTGCATTAAACTGCAGCCTCAATCTTTTCTATTATTGTCTAGGTACGAATCTTGTGATGGAATTTGTCCCTCTAAACAATCTTTTTAATTTATGAATGGATGACTAAATAATGATCTGACATATATAGATTAGCTGGTTTTTAAGAAATTTTTTTTTTTTATAATTCGTTTAATATGCACTTATGATGAAGGAAAATAATTTCCCTTAAGTGATAATAAACTTTATATTTCCGTGAAACAAACAAAATATAAAAAAGGGGATTTCATCCAATAAGTTCACATTCTTTTTTGCCAAAATACCTTTTATGAAAAAAAAACGAGAATACTTTTTAATCTTTAAAATTAATTGTGATACCAATTATAACAATTGAAGTAACAATTGGAGAAGGTTTTTTTGGGTCAATGCGTTCGATCAATTTGGTCGTTGTTTATGAAAGATTTTTTTAAAGTGAACAAAAAAAAAATTTTTTTTGTTTACTTTTTTGATATAATCTGTGATTTAATAACCTAACTAAACTTGGGATATGATATCATAATGAAAATCACTATACCATAAATAATCGATACGTAGATCTTATTTCGAATATCAAATTGAGAGCATACCTTGATTAAATATTGATAATGAACAAACGTGATACAATATGAGATTTTCCCATTGGCAACTTTCTAATTCAAGTCATGACATGCATTTTTCTACATTTTTAAACATCAATAATGTAACCTTTAATTGCTTTTGAACTTTTATAATCCGATTCAGGAATCAAATGATGTTCAATTCCTGTGTGTTCTTATCAATGAGCTTGTACATAGGAGAAGGATGATGAAAGTGTTGAATACTATGCTATCTATGGGATTGTAACCACGGAAACTTCTAATTTTTGAATATCATGACAAAAACGAAATTCTTATTGTCAAATAAAAACATCAAAAAAAAAATATTCCCGGATAATTGCATGTGAATGAGTTGTTTGGTAATATTTATTACATAATGATTAATCGGATAGGTCGTGTGAGTAGGGTTGTCAATCGTGTGATTTATTATTACAAGCACGTAAATTTATTTTCTGTTTGAATCTGCTATTAGCGCGAATATTTTTTTGTTTACTCTCCCCACATGATTTGATAAAACGTCCAGAAGGACAGAACTGGGAAACCAAGGAAAACTTGGACATTTGAACTTTTAAAATTGATTTATTATTTAATAATTAATATTAATGTTTAAATTTAATTAATCAATGGTATAAAAAATTATTTTTCATAAAATTTTTTAAAATATCTTGTTTAAACATCAGTACCATAATATCGATCTACCAAATAAATCAATTATAAGAAACTTAAATCAATAATGAGATGAATTTTCTCCCGAATAATTTACTTACCACCAAAATTACCCATTCCGGGTTCAATAAATAATGTTTCGTCATTAATCTTTGAATCGATCATTGACGTACATACTTTAACTTTTGGAAATGCATTAGATATTACGTGAAGTCCTATCGAACAACTTTGATTTAATTAAGTTTGATCGAAAATAAATATATTTTGTTTTACGTATTTGATCCAAAATAATTTACCTAATGGAGTTGCAAGGAAAGTCAAAAATATTATCCTATCCTCAGGTACATTATGATCCAATAATACCCTTATGGCCATAAGTGCAGCTGCCCCAGTTGCTATCTGTGCATCCTAATTAAATTCAAGACGATTCGAACTTATTGGATCCATTGAGATTAACAGATCAAAAGTGTAACTTACCATGAGCAATACAGAACATTCATGAATATTATTAGGAAGGTTAATAAAATGTAACTATAAAGTAAGAAAACTATTAGTTATAATACTTGTTCTGATAACAATGCCATGAATAACATTTTACCGATGGTTCTCCAGTTTTAGGACGAGATTGAATCAAGATTTTTCCAATCAAAGCGTCCTTAACGACTCTTCTTAAACCAGTTTCCATTGTACCTCCCGCTCGTAGAATAGATACTCCACAAATCTACAAGATATGATGATATTTAAAAAAATGTATAAAGGCACCCGCAACATCCGTAATTTTACCTGCATCGTATTCCTTTTTCCAACGTATGGCACATGAAGTGGCGTGATGATTTCATGCTCTATAAATATTAATTCTGACAACGCCCTAAAAGAAAAAAGGTTTAAAAGTGGCAATACAAATAATAAACCAACTGGATATTATTATGTAAATTTACCTTTCTACAATTATAGCAGCTAATCGTTCAGCATAAAATATGAAATCATCACGTTGTGTGTTTCTATCCCTTATAATAGTATGAATCCCCTATGAAAACATGATTTTGTATTTTATTTTATAGTGTCTCTTTATTTTTTTTTAAAAAAAAGGTTTAAGATTAAAAGTTATAACGGAATCTACTTTAAGTTGAGTGGTTTGTTCCAAAACAGTGACATTCTTCTGTATTTCTTTATCATTACAATCCAACTTTAGAAGATCCCATCGAAAATTAACTTGACGTTCATGCAATTGACGTTGTATATGTTTGGTTATTAAATCGATGGCAACTAAATTATCAAGACCACGTGGAATTATCTGTAGTAGAATGATCAAAAGACGAGAAATATATATCAACGTAGTTATACGATAATGATGCTATCATAATATGCATACCACGTCCGCATTCTTGACGGTAGGTTGTATGTATTGATCAAAAGCGGGCTTTACGAATTTTTGATATTGCTGACAACAAATGATATATTAGATGACCATTTTCAAGTGATAAATAAATCTATAATAAACAAATATGTACCTGTATTACACCATTGAAATCACGTCCTCGTTCATTAATATCTCGTTTTACTACAATTGACAATTTTTCCGAGTTTAAACATGATTTCCTAAGATACATGTCTTCATCATTTAGACCGTTACTTACATCGACGAATAAGCCGAATATCTGAATCAGTGTCAACGAATACCTAAAATAAAGAAGGTTGAATGCTGAATATTGTTATTTTGCCAAAAATTTCAAACTTTGTCATTTTTTTAATTTAATGTGACAAAGTAATAATTAGACTTCCTCTTCATTCTCTACTAACTCCTTAATAAATCTGACCCTCAAATAAAAGTTTGTGATAGTGAAATATTAATTCGGACTAATTAAATTAAAGTTATATTAATAAATTTCCTACTTTAAGGTCCATCAAATCCAAAATTCTTTGATCATAAAGTGCAAAAATTCCTTCAAAGATGATAACATTTGCACCATATAACGAGATTGTTTGTGGAAGTCTATACAAGACAAAATTGTTGTTAAAAAATATCGGAAATAAAATGAAGTAATCACGAATAAAATACCTAGCATGAGTCACAAAATCATAAATCGGTACATCGACTTTCTTTCTAAAATTTTAGAGTAATTTCGTGTTGATTTAAAATTAATTAATATTATTTATAATGGAACCTTACTACTAACCCCTCTTTCATATTCTTCAATGTATCAAACAATATATCAAAATCAAAAGCATCCGGATGATCGAAATTGAAGTTACTAATAATTGAACACAAATAGTTAACATTTTCAATACAGAAAATTAAATTAAACAAAACCAAACATACTTATTTAACGCGTCGACTTTATCTTTGGGGTTTAACACTTTATAGAAAGAATCCATACTCAAAAGTACAACCCACGGTACATTAAGATTTTCTATGATACGTCTAAATACGACGATTAAATTAAATTAGGGATAAGAATTATTTGTTGAATTGATGCCGAAACTTACACCGAGACACTAGTTTTTCCGCTTGCACTACCACCTAATGAATTAAAAGGTGATCTTATTCGAATTAGACAATATTTTGATCGAATAAAAAATTAATTAAATTTTTCAATTAAATTTCCTGCAACTCCGACAAGATAACATTCGAATTTCGACCCATCCAATCTTATTCATAGATAAGAAAGTAAATATGTGAATGAGTAATCACAATTATCAATTCCTGATTTTATAATTAATTTTATCTTTCCATGAACGCGTTAGCCTTACCTATACCAAGGCCTAATATGACAAATTAAAAAAATTATATATGTAAACATAAAAAATCTTATACAAGATTAGTCTCTGGAACTAATTTTTATTAAGAAATTTGATAATTACGATCTTCCTTCGCCTCGCAAAAATGTATTATTCTTTGTCATTCTTATTTTATTTTAAAATTATGGATACATAGATTATAAAATTGGATAACCAGTTTTCTGCACTGCATAACTGCATAATGCACAATTTAATATTTTTTCCGTTGGTTCCACAAATATCATATTTTATTTATAATTATTCAGCAACATAATTCTCGAAAGTTAGTTCAACTTATTCTGGATAAAAATATTTCTTTTATAGGAATTTCTTTCTTTTTCAATATAATGTGGATAAACCAGTAATCAATTTTAATAATAATTACTAATCATATAGAAAATTCTAGGATATCAGATATATAAATATTGTGAATTTTTTTAAAAAAAAAAAAAAAAATTAAATGGGATTATTATCATTTGGAACACCGTTGGCATGGGAGGAAGCGAAAATTTATTCGGATCATGTTCGTGTTAATGGTATAAATCATTTTTCATCTATTTATCATAAACTGAAAAATAAACAAAAGGATTGTTTATTATGGGGTGATGAGGTAAATATTTTAAATGGACATTTCTTTCTGTATCTATATTTCTTTCCTAATAAAATTTTAATTTTATTTGATTCGATAGGTTGAATATATGGTAGTTACATTTGATGACGAAAATAAGAATGCAAAGTTATCTTTAAGAGTATTCGAAATTTTAAGTGAATTACAAAAAGAGGAAGAAGCAGCATTGCAAAACAGGTAAAAAAAAAAATTTTTTTAAGGTTATGCGATTTCTTATTTATGATTCTATATTATATTTTAAAATTCTGCCAGTGAATTGAATGGAACATCATGGAAACCGGAATTTGGAAGATACATGCTTGAAGGCACACCCGGACTTCCCTATGGAGGAACTTTGAAGGACATACTTCAAGTTGAGCCAAACATGAAGTTTCGTAGACAACTTGCCGCAAAATATATGAAACCAAATGAAGTTCCGATTACTATAGCAAGTTTTCCGAGGCTTGGTTGCCAAGGTCAATTCTTGGAACCTCATTATGAACCAAGAGGTGAAGCTTCAAGAAGCTTGTTTGTACCTGACGAAATAATTAATCCACATGCTAGGTTCCCGTAAGTTATAAATCTCTTTAATATTATCATCGCATTATTTAATTTTTAATTAATTAATTTTGTTAATAAATTAGAACATTAGCTGCTAATATCCGAAAACGTAGAGGATCAAAAGTTGCAATTAATATGCCAATTTTTCATGATATAAAAACACCAAAACCTTTCATTGATCCAACAATCCCGAGAGATCGTAATTTATTCCCTGAAGACAAAGAAGCTGCTGAAGGTGCAGCATTACCCGACCATATTTATATGGACGCGATGGTTTTTGGAATGGGTTGTTGTTGTCTTCAGATTACCTTTCAATCTTGTAATATTGAAGAAGCGAGAAGACTTTATGATCAGTTGGCGAATATGGGTCCCATAATGGTAAAATAAAATCCCCATTGATCAATGTTACATAAAGTTTTTGAAATTAATTTATCTTAGTTATTTGTAGTTAGCTTTAACAGCTGCTGCCCCGATTTATAGAGGGTATCTTGCGGATGTGGACTGTAGATGGAACGTCATAGCAGGCAGTGTTGATGATCGTACTAAGGAAGAACGCGATCTAGAGGTTTTTTAATCTTTGTAATTCTTTTAAGAAAAAAAAAATACCTTCAAAAAATTTTGTACGTTTAGGTATTTCTTTTGAATTATATTATGTATCATACTTTTTCTTTTTCTTTATTTTTTCTTTTTTAGCCTCTTAAAAACGATCGTTTCGTAATTAATAAATCTCGTTATGATTCGATCGATTGTTATATTTCTACGGATAAGACATTAAAACCTGAATACAATGATTTGGATTTAGTTTACGATAAAGAAATTTGTAAAAAGTTGATGGATGATGGTTAGTTTTATTATTATTATTATTTTTTTTTTTCCGCTTTATAAATATTTATTTAATTTAATGTATTTAGTAAATATTTATTATGATCATAATTTCTTCTTGTTTAGGTATTGATGAACTTTTGGCTCGTCATGTTGCTCATTTGTTTATCAGAGACCCTTTAGTTATTTTTAAAGAATTGGTGGATCAAAATGATGATTCTGATCATTTTGAGGTATTTTTTTTTCTCGTGTTTGATTTTTTTTACTTTTATATTGTCATCCATCCAATTTTTTAATTCAAATAAAATTTCTTTAAAATTTATCCAGAACATTCAATCAACGAATTGGCAAACGATGAGATTTAAACCACCACCACCTAATTCCAACATAGGTTGGAGAGTAGAATTTCGCAGTATGGAAATTCAAATCACAGATTTTGAGAATGCCGCTTTTGCGGTATTCATTGTATTGTTAACTAGAGTAATTTTAAGTTATGGGTTAAACTTTTATATACCCATTTCAAAGGTAATTTTAAAGCATTTATTTTTGTTATAATTTTTTTATTTACTACGGTATATAACAAAAGAAACATTTTTTAGGTTGATGAGAATATGTTGATAGCTCATAAAAGGGATGCAGTATTGAATGATAAGTTTTGGTTTAGAAAAAATTTGTTTGAGAATGAGATCAATAATGGTATTAATAGAGAGTCTTTGAATGCAGGTTTGTAAATGAATTTGATAAAATGGATACGAATTATTGAACCGATATTATATGTTTTAACTACGTGTAATTCATTGATACCAGATGGATCAAGTGAGGAACATCACACAAATACGCAACAACCGAATGGAGATACACCAACATCCATCGAAGATGAATATGAACAAATGAGTATTAACGAAATTATTAATGGAGATGTATGTTAAAATTTTAATATGTTTTCGTTAATTCTAAATTTTTTGATCATAAAACTAATACAAGTTTTATCTTCACTTTTATTTATATTATGAACTTTTTTTCTTTTTAAAAAAAAATTGCCATGATAGGGTGATAAATTTCCAGGATTGATTATTTTAATATTTCGTTATCTTGAATCAGTTAACATTGATATTGAATCAAGATGTATGTTGGGAAAATATTTGGAATTTGTTAGTAGAAAAGCAGGAGGTAATATCAAAATTTGTTTATCTACTATTTAATATTATCTATTTTTAATGTAATATTGAATTATTAACTTGATATTCTAATTAGGAAAATTACAAACAACGGCAAAGTGGATTCGTGAATTTGTTAGATCCCATCCAAAATATCAACAAGATTCTGTTGTTACGCAAGAAATCAATTATGATTTAATGAAAATGATTGATAAGGTTCAAAAAGGTGAAGCAGGTGCTCCTGAATTATTGGGCGGTTTCGGAATTGATTCATAATGTAATTTGTTTATATATCGTCATAAGATAGCATATAAAGTTTTAATAATTTTTATAAATTTTCTCCTTGAGAATGACTCTCTCTCTGAACTCTACTAATGTAAGCTCTAGATACAATGTTCCATGCTTCCATATAACGATCCATACATTTGGCAACACAGGTCTAAATCAGATCAGTAGATCAGTAAATAATAAAATGTAAATCGATTAATACGTATTATTTTCATTACCTGCTCACTGTTATCTAGCTTGCTTCCTGGTTTAGTAATACATTTAGAGAAACATTTTTCATTGATTTTCTATATTTGCAAGGTACAATATTTTGGTGAGTCGCGCGAAAATTAAAAATGAAAATAAGAACAAACTTAATCGGAATAAAAATAACAATATTTTGCATACGTTAATAAGTTCTTGTGCGTTAGCTAATGCTAATTCGTTTCTCACTTGGTCCATGACGGCTTGTTTCCTATTACCCCTGTTTATAATAAAATTTCAAAGGTTAAAATGGTTACAAAACTATTTTAGAAATCTAGTCATCCACGTACATGTTAGAGGTAGAAGCTAAGCTACTATAATCATTAGGGAAATTCATTCTTGATTAAGTAATAAGTTAAAGAAAAACGAAAGGGAAAAAAAAAATAAAAAAAAATTTTTTTTAAATTTGTTAAAATAATTTTCTCGATAATCTATACCATCTTATGACGGACGTAATACTGTGCCGGCCGATAAAGGGGAAACTGCCGGGAAAAATAAAAAAAAATGGGTTACATGTAAAAGTAAAATTCTGGAATCAGAATACATTTTTCAAGTTTACAAAAAGAAAATAAAAAAATGATAAAGAAAATAATGTCTATCATGAGAATGAAATAGAAATTGTCTGAACCCGACATTAGAATTTACTGAATTTTTCATATGTTAACCATCGCCTAATTAAAACTATAGACCGATGAATCGATCAAATTAGAGAACGGATTCCTGCTCATAAATTCAACAGTCTAAAATAAGATAATCGCATATACGCGTCATAAAATTAACCAAGAAACGTGATTATGCAAATTATTGTACAAACACAAAGATTTTTTTTACAGTATCATTTTCAACGATTCATTAATACAATTCGTCTATAATGAAAAGTATGTTTTTTTCTTCCCCAAGAATATGTTATCAATTTTAGCCAGAATGTTCTCAATGTGAAAATGCATTTCTTTTACTAAATTTTGCATCCCGCCAATAATAAATGATAAAATGGCAAGCGCGTTATGCATGTCTCTAACAAAATGTAGTTTTTCGAAAAAGGATATTTCGAATTTAAATCAGTTAATTCGTAAATCATGTGACCACTAATTTATCATTGGTCGAATTATGCATAAGAAACAATAAAAATTTTTTTTTTAAATATTACAAAATGGCAACTGTTGAATAAAATTGAAAAGGAATTAGAGGAGGCTAGGAACAAGGCAGAAGCAGAGTTGAAGAAGTGGAAGGAAAAGTGGGGAGAGAGATTGGACGGGGAAGAGTGAAGGTAGAATACGAAGATTGAGAAGGATGATTTAAAGCGAGAGAAAGAGACGTTGGAGAAGTGGAGTGGGGAAAGGCGTTAAGAGAATTCGGTGGAGGTGAGGGTAATGAACAAATTGTATAAAAAAATATAAAAATTATTTTCGCGTATACTGTATACAACTTTGACTAATATTTTTCTTTATTTATTATTTCGTTTTTAATTTTACCTCTCGAACAAGAAATTCGCGTTATCTAACACCTTACATTTTTTTATTCGATTAGGCAAAAGGAAAGCGGAATTTTCGGATTTGGACGAGACAAATATAACGAAAAAAAGAAACTAATAGGTAATATATATCTTTACATTGCAGAGAATAAACTATATACATTTTTCATGTTATTTTCATAAATTCAAAAAGATCTAAGTTCTCCTGAATATAGTAAAGCTTTTAACAGGGGAAGACGAGAATAAAAAATGGATCAAGACTAATTTAACTAAGACATATAAACTGTGCGAAAATGAATTTAATTTCAAAAGAGAAGGCACTATTTCAAGTATATGATTATATTTATGACCGCATCGTAGAATTAGCAAGTAAACAAATCTTTTGGTGATGAAATGGAAAGACGACTTGAAGAATTGCTTATAGAATTGAAAAAACACGAAAAGTGCATTTATCGAAGAAATTAACAACCTGACAAAAGAATCAAAAAAGGAAATTTCCAACCTGACAGATGAATCAAAAAATGAAATGAGCAACGCGACAAATAAATCGACAGAAAATATTAACAACCTGACAAATGAATCAAAAAATGAAATATCCAATCTTGTTAGGCAATCAATAAAAACAATTGAAGAAAGTCAGAAAGATTTTTCTAATAAACCTTCCGAAGCAATTGATAAACTCAACTCAACCTTTGAAAATTTTAACAAAAAAATTCTTCAGATATTTTTGATAAAATTACCGAATCTTTTAGTTTGATTTCTTTAAATGAAAGCAAAAGCAAAAGTGAAGATGTCAATGATAACGTAAAAGCAGTGATCGAAGATACCGAAATAGTTAATAACATAATTAACCGAAGAAGAGGAGGTGGAATTGGAAGAGGAGTAAAAGGAACAATTCAAAACGTCTTGGTGACAAAAATTAACATCCACTTTTTGCCCAGGAGGAGAGAAATCATTCTATTTTGACGAGTTAGCTAGTTTAAAAAGTGAAGATATCAGTCGTTATTTAGGAACAAAACATCCTGAGCATAATGAAAACCTTAGAGAATTTATAAATATTATTCGTAATTCTATAAGTATTTGTATTACAAATAATGAGGTTCGTCATATGAGTATGATTTAGATGGAGATATTCTAATGATGCGAATTTTATGGAGTCATTTTTTTGATGAGAATAAGTTAATCTGAAGTGTTTTTTGTGATAAATTTGGAAATCATTTTAATTCATTTGGGTTGTGAACTAAGAAAATCAGGTTCTGAGAAATTTTTGACAAAAATTAATATCTTATTACATTTTAATTTAAATGTAATAAAAATTTAAATGCAATTAAAATCTCAATTTTGATCTCAGAACTTGATTTCCTTAGATTACAACCAGTGTAGTCACATAATTTGTCCAGTCCATCGGAATAATTTACTGGATGTCCAGTTCTGATGATCTGCCACATGTTTATAACTTAACGTTAAACAAACTTTTCTTCAAAAAATATTTCTTATGTTACATAAAAGCAAAGCAAGTGCCATGTTGATTACAAATAGGAAAATAGGGTGAAGAAAGATAACGAAATTCGTTTTTTTCTGGTTACTGAAAATTAATTAGTTGGACTCAATGGCTTTCTTTGTTAGTATGAATTGTTATAATGTTACTATATGTGAGGTTTCTAGGAAAATGGGGCTCTGAGCATTTTTTATTAAAATTTTAATATATATTGCATTTTAATTTTTGATAATGTTAGATTAAAATGCAATATATATTAAAATTTTAATAAAAAATGCTCAGAGTTCCATTTTTCTAGCAAACCTCCTATATAGTAAAATTGCAAAAGATCTTTTTCATATATAATGATTTTAGCAATTTATTTATCATGATTAGAATTTAAAAGATTGTGTTTATTCAATTGAATATCAATTTAGAAATGCAAAAAAGTGTTGCAAATCTTCAAAAACGCGAATTTTTTAAAGAAAAATATGGTGAAATAGAAGCATATAATATATAATAATGTTAACAATGCAAAAAAAAAACTTAACATACAATAAGTTTTATTTTCCATTATAAATATGCATAAAATACAAATGCAAATATGGTATCACAAATCAAAGGCAAAATAGAATTAGCTGATCTATTGTATTTACAGAAAAATTAGACCCATTATATTATATTTTTGCAGCAGCTTTTATCTAATCTAATCCAGTTTAGCAAACTTTGGATTAGTCCATTGACAATACTGATTACAATCCATATGGCAATTAATAGTATCATTTATTCTTCATTCAGATAAATCAGCACTCTTATATAATGTTGGTATTTGGCTGGTCAAAAAATTTTTTTGACCATTTTTTGACTAGCAAAATTTTGATTATATTATAAAATTTTTGGTTATTAGTCTATCAAATCAGGCTAAATTATTAACACTGTTCTTATATATTAATGAGATTATAAGAGTATTGCCAAAAGGTCATAGTGATCTCAAAAATATTAAAATTCTATTAGATGAATTCTATATATCTTATTAGGATTTTTCAAAATTAACTAATAAATTATATTTTGTTATATCTACTCTTAATACACTTAATGTATAGAATACCTAAATAGAAATTGTTAGATACTGTAATAAAAGAAACAAATAAAAATCACTTGATAAAATAAATTATATGATTTTACTATATCATAATATCTGCTAAATCTGCAGATCCTAGCAGATATATGAAATGCATTAAATCTATACAAAATATCAAATATATCATATATATCAGATATACAAAAATAACAGATATACTAAATATATAGGTTATAGGAAATATTAGAACTTTCTTTTTTATTAATAAACAAATTATATTAGTAATCAATTATAGTTTTATATTTATTATATTATCAAATTTCTTATAAATAGGATAGCTATAAATAGGATTTCGCAATTCGACTTAATATTTGAATATTTAATTTGAAACTTAAATCAAATATAAATTCAAATTTATATTTAATTTGATTCAATCAAATTCAAATCAAAGAATGATTTATTTGATCAAATCCAAATTAATGTTTGATTTAATTTAATCAAATTCAAATCAAGTATTCAAATACTTAATTTGATTCAAATTAATAGTAAAGCCATCTTCAAAGCTTCAGAAGTGACTTTTACTAAAAAAAAAAAGTAAAAAACGCCTCTATAATTTCAGAAATACCTTTTTTACTAAAAAACTATAGCAAAAAATGCTTTTGCAGCTTTAAAAATGTCTTATTTACTAAGAAACCTATAGTAAAAAGCACTTTCCCAGTTTCATAAATGTCTTTTTTACTAAGAAAAACATAGTAAAAAATATCTTCACAGCTTTAAAAATATTATTTTACTAGAAAAACATAATAAAAATGCCTTCGCAACTTCAGAGATATTATTTTATTAAGAAAACATAGTAAAAATCATCTCCACAGCTTCAGATACATTATTTTACTAAAAAAAATATAGTAAAAATCGACTCTGCAACTTTAAAGATATTATTTTACTAAGAAAACATAGAAAAATCACATTTGTAGCTTCGGAGATATTTTTTTACTAAGAAACCTAGTAAAAAAATGTGTCTGCAACTTCAGAAACGTTTTTTACTAATAAAAATATTATAAAGCCAAGATGGCGATTATTACTAAATTCTCTTAATAAACTAAAGCTGCAATAGTGATATTACTAAATTTTCTTAGTAAAACCAAAGCTACAATAGCAGTTATTACTATTTACTTAGTAAAACTGAAGCTGCGATAAACAGTTATTACTAAGTTTTTTTAGTAAAATTAAAGCTGCGATAGCAGTTATTACTAAAATTTTCTTAATAAAACTGAAACTATGATGACGGTTATTTAGAAAAACTAAAGTCGCAATGGTGGTTATTACTAAATTTCTTAGTAAACTGAAGTTATGATAAGATTATTACTAAGTTTTCTTAGTAAAACTAAGTTTAATAGTAAAAATTTATCTGTTACTAAACTTACTTTGTAAAAGCTATCTTTGAAATTTTTTAGTGTAATTACTAATAATTTTTTTAATTAGAATAATTTTATTATTGTAAAAATTAAAAAAATTTTTATATTTGATTTGATTTGATTAAAATTTGATCAAATATTTGAGTTTAATTTAATTTAATTTAATTTAATTCAATTTGAAAAATCAAATCAAATTTAAATTGCTTAAATATTTGATTCGATTTAATTTTGAGAAACCCTATCGATTATGTAAGTCTTTAGAGCTTTTCATAAAATTTTATCTTGTGAATCTTAAAGCTAAATCCTTTGTTAATCTTATATTAATACTAATTTCATTTATTAGTATCATTAAATAATACTATAATTAAATCTTTACAATACTAATGAATACAAAGATATTTCTAATATTGACTAAAATGAAAATTTATCATTTATATTATAATATATCTATTATGATTTTTTGCTAGTAAGAATCCAGCAGTCAACCTTAGATTATTAATTAAAACCCTATAAGAAATTTATATACGGAATTGTATACGATAATAATACGTTTTAATATTCGTAAAAAATGTATAAAATATACTGAAATTATGTATAATATATACGTAATCAATTAC